TTTTTTTTTCATAGGGAAAACGCTGATATAACTGAATAATTTTCTTTTAAAGTACCTCTCCTTTCCTTGAGGTCAATTCCGGCGAAAATGCAAAACACCGCCAAACATGGATAAAGCTTCCCGAGGGCCAAAAAGAGTCTGCGTGGAAGGCCATCCACGGGACAACTGATCTGTTTTCTAGTTAATGATTCCTTTTATGGGCTATCGTTTTATTTCTGGCCCTTTTCCAGGGTCAAAATCCTAAGCCCTTGGAAACAATACCCTTTATAGTCTTACTGTGGGACCTCGGATCGATTATAAATGAGTTTACATCCTCGTGATAGTTGATTCTTTGTCTTGCAGTGCGCGTCTTTTTTTGTTTTTTTTTTTACCATTGCTCAGCCTCCCCTCCCCCGCTAAATACTCGCTTAGACTGGGAACTAATTACGAGGAAAAAAAACAGTAAATGGAACATGGCGGAGGCAGAGCGGCAAAGGATCTTTTCCGAGCGGGCAAGAAATGGTCTTTCGTACAAATCAAGCCCATTATTAGGCTCAGCTAGAAAGTATCAAGCTTCGGAGAAAAGTTCATTGTCAGAGAGCTTTGAAGGACCAAAATGTTACGGTTCAACGCGAAACCCACTTCAACCGCAGTGCGATGTAAAATGGATAGGACATGTGTTAGAGGAAACAGACACGTTACAAGGGGTGGCTATAAAATACGGCGTGACGGTAAGAAAAGGCGTTGGAAAAATATATATCTTATGTGCTTTTCATTTTATTGTAAAACTGTTTTAAGGGTAAATAGCCTCTTCATTACACGGAATACGCAATTAATGTTGTGTTATGCTAGTATTCGACTGTGCTATTGTATTCGGATTGTGTAAGATTTCCAGAATTCTCGAATTTCATCCTCGTTACATAACCTTGATTTTGTATCAATTTAACTGAGAATGCTGTTTATATATGCACACGAAGATAACAGTTTCATGAACGGGAAAACGATTTTTCCGTTTTCGGTTTAGGTTTAATACATGCATGTGGACGCCGATGTACACCTATAATTGCTTTGGGAATCGTGCTTTGGTCTTTGAAAGTCATTGTTTGGTGGTCACTCAAGCAAAGCATTGCATTGTATTCTGCGTTTCAATGGCCAAATCACAAAGCAACCTTTATTGAAATAGGTGTGTACAGCGGGCGAGCATAGCTGTAAACATCCTCCATGACATCATAAATAATGATCTGTCTTGTGACACTGTAAGACAAACAATCTGATTCATGTGCTGCTAAAATACAGAGACTTTGTTGTCTAATGGATAGATGGTTTTCACTATCATGCAGTAAAATATGCAAAACCATGCTATGAATATAGAAACCCATCTGCCCCCTGGCATTTGCCAAAAACACCATTTGAATTAGCTTGCGAATACAGCAGTCTGCCACAAGGGATATTTCACAGGAGAGACATCTGCACCTCAACAACAAAAATTCCACACTGATGTAGCAAAGAGCAAGGAGAGGCGGTTGTATTCACAGGCTACAAATAATTTGAATCTAGTTGAGCCATTTTCTGTCAAGAGTCCCAAAGAGGTTTTTTGGGATCTGGATTTGCCTTATTTGAATGCCAGGATTCATGATTTAAAAGCAAAATGGGGTCCAGATTTGGAATTGACAGTATGCACATGATGAGGAAATATGCCAGAAAGAAACATCAGGATTACAGGTTTGAGTGCAAATTTGGGTGCGAGAATAGGATTTTATCCCGGACAAAAAGTGGGAAGAGTCTTTTATGAAGACCCTGAGGATTGTGAATTTTTTTTGAAGCAACGTTTTTTGGAAGATTTTCATGAGAATTTCCTGGCCAAATTACTGTACGCTGTACTTGATTTTGGCTCTTTTCTCTGGCTTATTTGAATAATCACAAAGTTGTTTCTGACCATGAAAGAGGTCATTAATGACATTACTAGTGGCAAGGGGGAGGGGACGTAATTCTCTTCAGGTCATTGAGGTATGCTGGAGTGTCTCTGTTACAGGTCAAAATTATATTTAGGTTAAAAATTTTTTAACCTAGGTTGATTCTCAATTTCCTTTGTCTCCTGTCCCTTATTTATAAATAATCAGGGCTAGGAGACAAAGGAAATAGAGGATCAAACTGAGTTAAAACATTCTAACCTGAATATAATTGTGACCTGTAACATCTTCTCCGAGTCCTGTCTCTAAGTCTACCTGGCTGAAAAGTAGTCAGCACATCTGGAATTTACCTTACTTTTCAAAATAACTCAGTATCTCTAGTGAACTTATAAGCATTTACTTTAAGCACTTCTCCTGATGCTTTTTCTGCTAAGATGGCAAAGAAACCCACAAGAGAAAGTTTTTTTTTAATGACAAACAGGCTTTTTCCTTTAAATGTACTGTTTGAAGAATATACTGCCTTATAAGAAGGTAAAAATCTAGGACCTTTTATAGTGGATAAGGAAAAAAATGTGATGGCTTTTATGTGTTTTGTTTCAAAATCCAATAATCCACAGTGCAAATGATCTATTAGGTGTTCTAGGGCAAGCTCTTAAAGAATGATGTCTAAATTTGCTGTGCAGTCAATTGTTGTAGTGATATTTATTAATGCAGCAAGACTTCTATAGGAAAAATTGTTCTTAGTCTTGTAGGTGCTGTTAATTAAACTGGTGATTTCTGGAACCCAGCCAAGGAGCATTAAGTTACATTATTATGCCCTGGTTGAGGAATCAACAATGTTGTAACGTTGCCTCTCCCATGAATAGTCAAGAAAATAGAAACATTGGCTTAACATTTTTGTCAAATCATTTAGTTGATGGCTTAGACTAACCTAAAGCCAACCTTACATGTAAAAAGATCCTCTTGTCATTCTTTATGGTGCTGGTTTATTCTGGCATCAAAAAACATGACTTGAACATAACATGGCGGTGGGCTCATTAGGAGAAGAAAAATTGGCAAAAATTACTAATATATTGGAGTTAAATGCCAAGTTAATTGAAAGATAGTTTCTCTTTGACTCAAGTTTCATTTACCAACTGATATTATTTTCCTTTGTGATCCCATTTTCTGGGTTGATCATTATGCTATTGTTGCGTTTGTGCATCATGAGATAAATGAATTATTCAAAGTGAAAAAAAAGATGGCAAATGCAAATTATAATCTTAATATAATGTGTATGTGCATGTGCATAGTATACATGGGAGGCATCAACAAAAATTGGGAGAGATTTTGTATACCTGTTAAATGGTATACGAAATGTCTTCTAGGGAAATACTTCGATGTGTATAAACAGCTTTTAACAATTGCATAAATGTAGAAAAAACTCTTCCTAATTTTTCTTTCATGAATGTTAATTTTTGTTAGGTTGAACAGCTGAGGAGAGCAAATAAAATTTGGACAAATGACAACATACATCTCTTAAAAATCCTGAAGGTTCCAGTGAGGAAAAATTCCCCACACTATGTAGATGAACTAGAAGTTTCGGATGATGAATCCAGCCCAGATAACAGCAGCACAAATGAAAACAAAATCACAAATAACTCTAATTTAGTTAAAGGAGGGCAGCCTGGTGTGTTGCTCAATGGCTTTGGAGAAAAATCCAAAGATTTGGAAGGCAGCTCAGAAGAGATACAGCAGACAAAAGAGACCCCTCTTAGTTTTCTCCAACAGCTTGATGCACGAATAAAAAGCTCCAAAAAAGAATCTGAAAAACTAAGGTGAGTTCTGTGTGGCAAATTTCAAGCTGGTTTTTACTTTCAACCTTTTAAATTTTTATTTGAAACCATTCAATAGATGAAGTCAAGAATCTGAAAGATAGTAGAAGCAAGGCAACATTGATTGGCTGGGGGTGGGGGGGTACAGTCGAACCTGTATTAAGCAGCACCATATTAAGCGGTCAACCTCTATTAAGCGGTCAGTTTTCAAAGTCCTGAAAAATACTTTGGTTGATGTAATGTAATTTTGACCTCTATTAAGCACTCACCTCTATTAAGCGGTCACATTCACCATTTGCAAAGTCCCAGTGGGCCTTTTTCTATTGTCTTGACCTATATTAAACGGTCGCATGACGTCAGTTACTTGTTCATACTGTTTCAATTCCTTGTTTATTTTTGCAAAGTATTAAAATGTTGGAAATGAATGTTTCTTTTTGAGGTCATATGTCTGATCTGATCAGCACTGGAGATCAAATTCTTTAAACTGTATTTCTTGCAACCTGTATTAGGCAGTCACCCTGTATTAAGCAGTCAATTAGCCATTCCCTGAGGGTGACCACTTAATACAGGTTCGACTGTAGTTTTTTTATGGTACCCTAAATGTAGAAACAGACTCTTGCATTAGCTCAACTAATTGGAGTTATTAAAGACATTGTGAAAGCAAAAATTCCAACTCTACTTTTCATTTAAAAAAACGTTTCTGATGAAAGTTTCCCAAGGTGGTCTGTCCTGAAAAGCTATTAGCTATTAAATGCATAGTTAGTATAACAGACTATCAGGTTAATGTTACTGTACAAGTAAGTAAGCTTTTGGCTGATCTGGTGGTTGGAAAATGCAGTACAACTCAACTCATGGCTTTGATTTCAGAGAAGGAATTTCATCTACATCCTGACCTTTCTATTTCAAGGTGTTACTGTCTTATAAACTTACAGCATAGTTGGTCGAGGAGACTGGTTAATGAAAGCCAGTAAACATCAAAGTTGAAAACAATGGTGTTGTAGGTTATATTGGAAGCTCCCTGACCATGCGCAATCCTTTGTTTTTTGTTCACAAATTGTGACGGAATAAATTAATGCGATGTTTCTGTTGGTCAGTAAGTTCAAAATGATAGGAATGCTATTGAACATTGAGCACGCGTTATCAAAAACAGGATCAATTTAGGTTTCAGGGAAACTGCCCACCTACCCCTCCTCTGAGCCAACATTATCACTTACTTCTCACTTAGGGCAAAATGTTGGCTCAGGGGAGGGGTAGGTGGGTAGTTTCCCAGAAATCTAAAGTGATCTTAAAAACATATAACAAAGAAGTGTGTCGGGCTTTATAACCATCCCACTTTATTATCTATGCGTACAGTACGAAACCAGTTAGAACTCTTTATTCCCCAGTTTGAAGTTTTTGCTGTTCTTGCAGAACTGTCTCTGGTCCTAAAGTCATAGCAGAAGTGGAAAAGTTAAATGAGAGCCATGTCACAGATGATGATTTGTTCCGACCACTTGAAAGTATATCATCACGCAAACACAGAGGAAAGATACTTGCATCAAAGAGACATTTTAAAACGGATAGAACTTCTCTTCAGGAATCTGATGAACAGTTCTTTGAGCTCTGATTCAGTTTAAAACATTTTTAGCAATCAGATTCTGCGGTTATTCTTGTGGAAGTCCTTTTACTGCAGTGACAGAGATGACAATACATGCATAATATAATTCATTATTATTATATAAACACCAATAAAATACCAGGTGAGCTTTCACGTGAAAACTTGGTATCTTCACATGTGAAAATATCATCATTGCTGTAGCTACATAATAAATCCCCCCTTTCACACCAAAAAACTATTAAAGTGAATTGGTTTGGTAGTTCATTGGTGTTTATATAATAAATAGAATATTACATGGCCTCTTGGAGATACGAAATATCTCTTCGAGTGTTGAAAAGATATTTTACTCGTTCACGGCGCTCACTCGTGAAATATTTTTCAACACTCAAAGAGAAATTTCGTATCTCCACGCGGCCATGTAATATCCTCTATTTATCTCATGATTTGGAAGGAATCATTTGAGTTACCAATAGCCCTGAATGAACACCTGCTAAAATGTCAGGAGTGAATTTGATGTCTATACATTGAAGAATTGAGTGTTCTTTGGGTTGACAGAAGTGACGTGTAAATGCAAGTTTTAGATTAATTTTTAGAAAACATGAATTATTGAATGTCCCCAATCAGAGTTCCTTTTTCCCAGGACTGAGTGGGACTCAGAATATTTTTTATATGGCCAAAAAATGAAATCCAAACTTTTGACAGTGACCACTAAGCAGGGGCAGATTCAGGAATTTTGGGATTGTAAGTGGAAGCCCACTTGTTTGTACTCTTCATAATTTTCATCCTTTCTTGCAGCTAAGTGCTTCCCATTATTCTGTACCAGACAACTTCAATTATCTAGACCCTTATAATTGTGATACTTGTAGTAATGTTGAAATTCTATCCGTAAATGAATGCAGCTTTGAAACATTCTTTCTTTGTAATTATTGATGACTTTTTGCACGTGTCATCAGCCGGAGCAAGCCTTTGGATCCTTGTAAAAAGGTATAACCAAAGCCTTAGGCCCTGTCCACAGTAATGCATTTTCGCTGTCATCGAAAACGCATCGATCGAATCGTGTCCACACTTCCGTTTTGATGCGTTTCGATTGTCCACACTAAAATGTTAGAAAACGATAGAATTGCACGTTGTGACGTAAGTTGAACTCTATGCGCATGCTCCAATTTTTCACACGCACCTGCGATATTTTCGGTCATCGTTTTTATTTTGATGCGTTTTCGACCGTCCACAATAATAGAATGTGTATGCGTTTTCGTTTTGATCCACCCTCAAGAGCGTTTTCAAATCGATGCGTTTTCGATGAAAACGCTGAGCGTATTGGTGTGGATGGAAGGCCTAAACGCATCGAAATGTGTGCGTTTTCAAACTTCAATTTGTGATTGAATGGGCAATTAGGTGAAAGATGAGACAATGAGTTAATCACTCCCTTCTCCTAGATCAGCTATACAACATAAAAACTGAGAACACACCCCTCTCTTGTTATGAACATTATGTAAAGTTCTGTAATATAATAGGATTATTGAAAATATTTTATTAAAGAATGACTAGTATATGCCAACCTGAGGTGGACAGTGACAAGTAGTAGTTATTTGCAAAGGAGCCAAAAGCAAGGCTGAAAGAAGCTGAAAGTACCTTCCAGTTTTGGTCAGCGAATACAGTTGGCCGTCTGTCATCGCTACCCGCCGTCGGGATGTCCCGCACGCGAAATGTCGCAACCGTACGGGGAGCGTAGCCCAAGCCAGGCTCTCGGTCAGAGAAAGCGAGCGAAAAAAGCGAGTGAGGGAAAACAGCGGGAAGAGAAGGGGAGAACCTTCCCCAGCTTTCAAGCTTCAATTCACGCATCTTTTTCGATCCGTTGAGTTTGTCTCCACTACCTTGGAGAGCCTGAAACAGGCTAAGGGGAGCGACGAGATACAAGGGCTTAATTCCATGGTTCGTACAATCTTGAAAAGGTCTTGAATTTTACCTAGTCGTCTTGAAAAGTCCTTGGGTTTAGGTCCTTTAAAAGTACTTGATGTCTCGGGTCTTGAAAAGTCCTTGAAATTCACAACCTTGTCTACGACTGCCACCTTTTTCTGTAAAACTGAATTATTTTGCCAAGGGAAACTTGGCTCATCCTCGGTGCAAGAAGTAGAACCTGTAAAATTCACGGTTAACGTGAAAACAATTTTGTGCATGAACAATATTTTATTTCTGTTCCTTTATTACAAAATAATGCTATTTCTGTACCTCAGATACAATTGCAAGTGATACCAAGTCATTTTGCAAAGTCTTGTTGCGGAGAGTAATATAAAAAAATGTGATCAATATATATATAATGGACGAAGCCGTAAAAGTCGTAAATGACTCTACGACGTGTTTAAGCCACAATGGGGTGATCAAAACGGCGTAAAAGAATGCCGATTTATTAAATAAATCTTTGTCCTTGAAAACTGTAATTTGTCCTTAAAAAATCCTTGAAAAGTCCTTGAATTTGTTTGTCTGAAGTTCAGTACGAACCATGGAATTAACAGGCTACCCAGTCTTTGCAATGTTCCAAAGACTAGTACATATTTATGGACTGAATGCTGGAATATAACTGTTTCACTTACACACTATCATTTCCGATAATAGGCACATACGAGCTCATTTGTATTCTTATCATCAGTAACATTTTTCAAGGCCCAACGCCAGCACCCCCTTTTCACATTGAAATTCCAAGTTGAGTAGACTACGAGCAGTCTCTCTTTTTTCTGTAGTCCGTCGAGCAAAACGCGAGACTCGCAAATGGCCACCCGCGCGTGCATTGCTCTCACTAAATCTGAAGAAAAAGAGAGACTGCTCGAAGTCTACTAGTTGAGGGGTATGTGTTGAAGTATCAAAAAGACATTTTAAAGCGGACACTATCAAGCTTTTGGAAAGGGTTTAGTCGAATTTTGTGCTATAAAGTCAGATGGATGCCCAAACTGCCCAACTTACACAGATTTGTTGTACAGGCCCAATTTTACGCCCACTTCTAATATCATGGCATTTTCGTTTAGATAGAAAGATCTGGCCAATAATTATAAGTGCTAGTGTGTATATTAGCAGCCTATATATACGTCGGGCCTACAGATCGCAAAAATCCTAGTTCTAAATCAACGCCTCCGTAAAAGATTAACAACCTTGCGGTGAATTATCGTTAAACTGAATTGATGCCAATCACCGACATTAGCTGAGCAAAAGTACTTGAAACCTAAGAATGTGGACTGCATCTACTGCAATTGGTGGATTTAGATAAATGTTTTACGTGAAAATTTATTTTTAAACTTTAGTTTTCATTGAATAAGTTTTCCGTCACCCCCACATTTACACTGTTTACACTGGGATACTTAGGTCGGGATTGGTTGTGTTTTTGGCTGCTTTTCTCCGACCTCGAAAAATGATAAATCCATGGAAATAATGACCCCCACCGAACCCTTAAAAGTAATAACCTTTCCCCAATCCAACCCCGAAAGTAATTTCCATGAAGTTTAACCTATTCAGACCGGGGTTTTTTTGCTTCCCGCGACTTTGGGGAAGTCGGACGCCTCCCTCTAAAAACCTTTAAAAATAGGCGTTCGAGAAGCGCGTGTGACTACAGGTGAAGAGTAAAATGCATTTTTATCGAGTTTGGATGCTTTAAAATGCATCGCAACGTTTCTCAATGATTTGTAACGCATATTTTAGCCTTTCCCATGAATGCGTGCATGAATGCGTTTCGTTAATTGATGAAGAATAATCAACACATTGGCAATGCCGACCAAAATTTTTTTTTTTTTGCGTGTCTATAGAAATGATAGCGAAATTTCAGCGCGGGACAGTTAGTCACTCCAACACGTCTTTTTTACAATGCACTGCAAAATGGTCTAGCTCTCTATAGCCGTAATTAAGGAACGGACCATTCAGTAAAAGTTATAAGGGTGAGGGAAGGGGGAGGGGGGCTTAGTACAAAAAAATATATCATGCAAGGGAAAATTTAAGTGAAAAAAATTCATGCATGCAGAGTAGACCAGAAAAAAACGGCCTTCGACAAATTTTGCACAGATCTCAAGAAGATATGCAAGAAAGCATACTGTGTGCAAAACATCAGCTCTTTGAATGAACTTTCTTTGAATTCTGGTCTCGTATTAAAATAATCATACCTGATACAAAAAAATATATCTGAGACTAGTAGGCTTATCATGTAGTTTTTAATAGCTGGCAATTTCAGATATAATTATTATCTAATTGTAATGTAAGGTTATCGTTTCCTTACTTTTTGTTATATACCTAATATCTGGAGCAAAACATTTCTTTTTTTTATACCATAGATAACAATAATCAGAGTAGTCCCCACAAATCGAAGGAAACAACCAGAAACACCCAGAATATATATTATTTCTTGATTGTTCTAACAAGCAACAGATAAATAAAAATAAAAATAATAAAAAAATCTATTTTATGAGATTTCGTTTGCACAGTTGTTGCTGGTCTCTTTAGATAAATGGAACTAACTCAAAGATACATGTTCTTTTCAGACTAGCAGCCTGAAGACTTTTAACATTTGGTCAAATCTATCTATTTTTACCACACATTTTTAGACAATTTCCGTTCTGGTTCTTGATAATAACAATATTATCATCATAATTGTATTTTACAAAAAAAAAAAACTTTAATGTATCAATATGGTAAGAATATATCATAATTGATCAACGGTAGGAGTATTTTGCAGAACGCTGAACGCTGAACGCCAAATGATGGTCAGCGGTATATAGCACTGAAAATAGTGATTAGGGCTAAGACATGACTTTCGTGATATAAGGGCTAAGTCCTGAGAGTAGTGATTAGGGTTAAGCACTGACTCGAAGTATGGTTAGTTTTATTTACTGTTAGGGTTGTCACTATATACCGCTCGCCATCATGGTAGCCTATATTTAAATTATGCCCTTGGCTAAGTGAACAACTGATAATTTAATATTTTTTCAGTTTAGTGTTACATCTAGGGAAAAGAACTATTCGTGCACAACGTCTTGACAAAGAAAAATATTCACTCAAGGGAAACAATAAAGAAAAAAAATGATACTTCTCGAAAATGTTTTGAAAACTGACCTCTGCATCTACCATTTGGTCCTTGAGGTATCTTTTTTCTCGGGTATTCACTACTAAAAAACCTGGATTGCATTAGATTTACATAATAAATTTGATAAAATAATGCTGAATTAAGTCACTGTAGTGTAACAAATAATTCAATAACTTGGTTCCCCTACCCGTCTGTAGAGGGTTGAAAAGTCACCCCTACCCGTCTGAAGGGGGTTAATGACTAACTGTTCTTTCAGGAAGGTAATTACTTTCACTGTTTGAGAATTAACTAATCAGAAATTCAAAGCAGAAGAGTGGGACGAGCAAGATGTCATGCTGTATTGCAAGATGTCATGTATACCACGTCCTAGGAATTAGGAAGCAAGTTTCTCAGAAACAAGTTTTGTTTTTGCAGGGCACATGTTTACGCAATGATGCGTTAACAAGGGCACGTGAAGTAATTTAATGGGTATAAAGCTCATGTAATATTCTTGGAAACATTTTTATTTCCGGTCGTACACTGTTATGGCCTCTTAAGGGGGTTTAAAGCGGTTTTTAAATGTATCCATAGTACTTCAGCTGAAATAACTGATGGTTTTGAGTATTGGGTGGGTTCTGATTTTGATGCTCATTGGACGGTCTTAGTACTGTAGGGTGGAGGCATTTACGGTTAAGGATAGATGAGCCTCTCTATGGGTACCTGCGGACGTCGATTTCGTCGCTCGTTTTCAGTCCGTCAAATTGTCTGTTTTTCAGGCGAAATCGTCGCATATCAAGAATTGTTTTGCGTGGTAACGCTACCACCAGCTCAGCATAACCACAACGACAAGCCAACAGGTTAAATAAGCAAAGCAAAAGCACACTTTTGGACAGATTTCTTTGCCTTTACTGCACGACTAACGTTGTCAAACTTGATTAGAAGTCAGTTTTCTGCCGGAAATATGTCATGATTCTGAGAACAAGTCTATAAATGGTAACCTTCTAGTAAATTCTAAGAAGCCGTTCACTTTCCGAGAATCGGCACACCCCATAGTTACCTCTCAAAGATTCTGATTGGTGGAAACCGCCTATACAGGATAAAAGCCAATATTTCATTGGTTCTTTGAGAAGGCAGAAAGTAAATGTTAGACAACACCCAGTTGTAGTTGGATCCAAACGAGAGACGTCGCGTTGGGTTGCTGTGGTAGAAGATAGCAGACCTGTGTGCAATTTTGGTTATGATGAAAGCAGTACTCGCTTTTCTCGTTCTGTTTGTTTGCTTCAATGTTGGTAAGCTCCTCTGTCAGTAGTCATTTACTGTGAATTTCCCGTTGTTGCTTGTATGTTTCGTCAATCGAACATCGTCTATACTTGGTGCGAAATCAGTATACCTTTCAACAATGCAAACTTACTCATTTATTTCGGGCGAAGCAAATCTTGTTTGATGAGATCTGTGATTGGCCATTCAGAACAGCTTTTGTTCCCGCAGAGCTTCGCAGTTTAGTAACGTATCTTTTTCTTTTAAAGTTTATTTTATCTAGGGGATCTTTGCAGCCTGATTGTCGCCATAGGTATTTACGCGCAATGTGAACCGATAACCGTCGACATGTAATTTATCCGAGTAAAATAAAACCGATCGCAAACTCAACCCAATCTTAGAAGTAAAGGCCAGAAGTACGAAATTACTGCCAAAACATCGATTCCTTCAATCTGCAGAATAAACGGCTTTTACATTTTTCAAATTCGCCTTCGACCGCTTCCTCGTGTTTGCAACGTGCCAGCGCCGAGATACAGTATGAAACTATACATTACAGTTCTTTCATTTTTTTCGGTTTTATTTGGCCGTAGTGAAATATAAAAGAAATTGGAATCATTTGCGCATTTACTGCATACCCATCTGTATTTTCCTGCTTTTAGCCGCAGCTGGTATTTTGGAATGTATAAAGGTTTAGTTTATTACCGGAATGTTTCAATAAAACGTCTCTCGTCGCACTTTCAACATTTGCCATTTTATTTTGTTACGCTGCAAAGCGCTAAGTACTACATTGCAAACGACAGAGTTGTGAGAAGCAATAGAGGGGAAACTGACTGTTTATTAGTGCTAAAAAAAGTTCTACGATGTTATGAAAACAGTTTATATATATTTTTTAAGGATATGGTTTGAAGTGCTATACCTGCGTCAGTACCAAGAGCTGGGGTGACTGCGAGGACATCAAGAAAGAATCCACTTGCCCTCCCACTGCCAATCGCTGCGCCAAAATAAGCGTAGACGTCAAAAAAGGAGGAGTGTCAGTTGAAGAGTATGGGAAAACTTGCTTAAGCGAAGAAGCGTGCTCAGCCACCGAAAAGGTCGACTTGTGTAAGGGAGCAGGAGAATGTAAAGTCAACTGCTGTTCTGGTGATCTGTGTAACGCTGCGTCGTTCAAAATAATGAGCACCTTTATTTTGCTCACTTGTGTTCTTGTTGCGTTGATTCAATGAAGCACGACTTTTTATTTCGTTGAGTTACTTTGTTGTTTAGCGGAAAGCGTTTACGTAAGTAGAGTTTCGTTTAAACTAGTTTCCATGTTTGTCAGTTGCATTGTAACTATTAACGATGGCGTCAGAAATGAAACGTTTAATTTGTTAAGAATTTTCACCGAAACCACAACAAATGCTGTATTTTGATTGTAGCGTAGCATTCTTTTGTAAAAACAACTTAATGTTTAATTTCTGAGTAGCTGTAGCAAATGGAGTTGTAATTTTCAAGCCTAAAAAGAGAATTCTTACATAAGAAAATCCGTCTATTTATTGTCTTTGTATTGATGCACTCGAGTCAGGCGACACACGGAGCGCGGGGGGTTACAAACAGCACAATGCGAGCGGCTTTATTGTGACACTGGGAAGGCTGGCTCGATTCCCGAGATTTAGTGGGCTGGAAATTTTGCCAATATGAACACTTCAGCCCGGTTAACGGGATGAGTTCTGGCGGTCTGGATGGCATCGTCTTGCATTGCCTGCTGTATTTTCCACATCCTAAGCATCCCATTGATTTACAGTGATACAGCTTCAAGAGTTGTGGACGCTATGACAGGCGCGAAAGTTAGAATTTTGAGTTTCGCCTTGTTTACTTTGTTTCTCGAATTTGGCGCTAGAACTAGTCCCCAGGATCTTTGGCCTTTTCACATCTCGGAAACGGGATAAAATTTCTCATATAAACCCATAGAGAAATTCATCACGGTAACTGAGCTAGCCCGGTCAACCAAGCTCATGTGAAGACGGCAGTAGTAAGGAAAATGCGGTAGTGCCAGGCTCCCGCGCGGTGTGAAATTAGGCAATAAAAATGTCACTTTTGGTCGTGTTCTATTGGAGGTATTTGGGACCAACCGTTTTTGATTGGTTGGTTTTTTTTCCTTGTTCTATAGGCAAAAAACCGGTTTTGGTTATTTTGATTTCAGTCAACCAGCTCAGAACTTGGTTGAAATGGTTGAAAACAATGGGCAGCGTCCGCTGATCTTTTAGAACGCATCGATTTTCAAGTGTTGTGTAATTTGCCGCGAATTTCGCGCTAAAAATTTGCGTGAAATGTTTGCGTGGGTGTCACGAAAAACTGAGAGGAGAACTTGTAAACATACAATTATGGCACCTTCAAAAGCACTTCATAAAATGAAAGAGAAAAGGAAGGATGTTTTAAAATCTAAACTATAACCAATGTTTCACATATTTTAATATTTTACTATTCGGAGGCGACAAAGTATTTTAAAAACTCGGTCTTTGTTTTGAGACTGCCCTATTAAAATTTGAAATGAATGACAATTACTGAGAAAACTTTATTTTCTACCTGAAAAAATCTAATTCCAAGAAATTCCATCCTTATAAAAAAAGGTCCTTTCTACGAATCTTCTTATTTAGCCTGTATCCCTATCAGCCACCAAGATAAATCACATTTCTTCTCATCTTGATTCTAGTTTTCAACACATGTCCCGGCACCGATAAGTCGGATCTCATTTTCAAAAATAGACTGTAATGCGAGGTTCAGGTTTCCCCTTAGTTTCTATCAACAGTTATGCTACATATTCTAATTCATTATCTGATTGTTCAACACGTTTGACAAGCTATTACACCGGAGACCTGAGAAACGTTACCCCACGGCGTCCTCAACTGTGGAGCTGGCTAACAACTTTGCCGAAAGCTTCCAAAATAAGATAGTAGCTATCCAAGACGCGTTATCTAGTGAGCCATCGCAATCTTATCATCAAATCTGTCTGGCAGAAGAACAGTCATCATGCGAGCTCGCAGTCTTCCAAAGAGTGTCTGTAAAGGAAGTTGAGCATCTCATTGATGTTTCAAGTCTTACGTCTTGCGATCTTGACCCAGTACCGGCACGTATCTTGAAAGGCTGTAGTCGACTCTCTTACCGACTCTGACTAGCATCGTCAATCTGTCACTCCAGTCTGCGTGTATGCCTGGGCAGCCGAAAGAAGATATGGTTAGACCTAACCTTAAGAAGAAGTCGCGTGACTTCGAGGAGTATTAGAATTTCCGGCCCATTTCTAATTTGAAGTTTGTGAGCAAGATCATCGAGAGGGCCGTTGCAGTTCAAGTGAAGAACTATATTACAGATAACGATCTGGACGAATCACTCCAGTCAGCATACAAACACCTACAAAGCGCCGAGACAGCTTTACTGAAAGTACAGAAATGTAACCTTTTTGCATGCTCAATTTATGATAACAGGTGTACTGTCGCAATTTGTAATAATCATCGCCCTTTGTAATACCTGTCGCAATTTGTAATAAACCGTGTCGCACTTTGTAATAAAAAAGCTGTCGCAATTTGTAATAACTGTCCATCGCACTTTGTAATAAACTAAGCTGTCGCAATTTGTATTACAAAGTGGGATGGATTTATTACAAATTGCGATAGGTATTACATAGTGCGATGATTATTACAAATTGCGACAGTACAAGTGTGTTGCCCTCCTTCTGTTGGACATGTCCAGTGCATTTGACATCGTTGATCACAGACTTATCTTGGATAGACTGTGCAATCGCTTTGGTTTAAGGGGACAGGTCTTGAAATGGTTTTAATGCTACCTTCACATCAGAAAGCAGTTCGTGATGATTGATGGTCTAAAACCTGATGTCAAAGATCTTCAATTTGGTGTTCCACTCTTGACTCCGGTACTCGTTGTACATCTCCCCTTTGGGCGATATTTTACGACATCATGGACTCGAGTTTCACCCATACGCCGACGACACCCAACTTTACAGTTTGCTTTTAGGTCCATTACAGCCGAGCAACAGTCATCTTTAGCGCGTATAGAAGCATGTGTGAGTCATGTCGATTCCTGGTTGGTCCGAAACAAACTGAAGCTAAACAGGGGAAAACCGAGCTACTTGTTCCGAATGCCGGCCATCGCCCACGCACGCCTATTGAGGCAATCTAAGTATCGAGTGAACGAATAATGCCTGTGAGTTCCGCTAGGAACATCGAGGTCGTCTTCGATCAAGAAATGACTCTTGTCGAACAAGTCACTACGATATGTCAGGGTCGTAACATGGTATATCCGGGTCCCACTGATCCCTATTTTCTTTCCTTCATTTTGATCCCTGGGCCCCATTTTCCCCAAAATTTTGATCCCTGAGCCCTGATAAAAGAATTGATCCCATCCATGTTTTTTACACAAAATTCTAACTTAGGCAACTTTTTTTATCTCCAAATATAGAATATAGAACACGCTCAAATGGGTTGATGAGAAAAACATTAACTTTAATTTTTTAGTGCAAGTTGAAGGTTCGATCAGAGCTTTCTATTCTGCTATCCCTGTTGATGTTGTAGTCTTATGCGAATTTCCTCTCACACACTGTTTGTGTTACAGTGAGGATCACGATCAATTACCAATGACAAAATACCTGCTTTACATGAAGTA